ACTTTATGTGTTTGAGTCAGCTACCTAAAGTTCTTGTAAGAATAATGAGAAGAAAAGCTATTTTCCCCAAAACTTGTGTGAATGAGTAGGGATAGCTACATGCATGAGCATGTCTCGTCACCTGTACACGTGTATACCAGTGTATATTTATGTTATTTGTTCCATTTCCAGTCTATTGTAAATACAAGTTCAAAATAATAATAATCTTGCTGTGATTTTTTGCTGGTGTCTAGGCCTTGTGTCTTATGTCAAAAAGGAATAGCATGCATTAGTTTTTTCACTGCTTTAATGTTCTCCACCTGCAATACCTCCAATATGATGAAGAATAGGAATCTAATATGGTACTGCAGAGTGTAAAATTTAGAGACAGATAAAATTCTTAGGTATTTTTCAAAGTTTGTGAACAGTACGCTGCAATTTACAAGGATGAATATTACAAATCTGATTTGTACACTTCCCAGTAAAAATCAACAGATTAATTCCGAAATAGCATCTTTTCTTTTATTTTTTGTTCCATTTTAGTTCAGATGAAAATCTTCACAGTATAGAATCAGAGATTTAATAACTTCCTATTTTTCAAAAGGGGTTTTTTGTTTGGTTTTTTTTTTTTTTTTTTTTTTTTTTTGTGTGGAAGGAAAGACGGGAATGAGTAATTTAATGCCATCTGAAATACATAGTGTTAATACAAGATTTTAAGTCAGTCCAGCTGGCTGCAGATCAAGAATACCAGACAAAACTCAGCCAACTCTTTCCATAAAAGATCTCTTTCTCTTGTGGGTAATCAAGCTTGCCTTGTCAGTTGTGCAATAAGCTTGCCACTGAAAATCAAGGTTTCCTTTTCAAAGAAATTGTGAGCATCCCTAAGAGTGTCAGGGAGGAGAAAGGCTGATGGTGCCCTGATGGTTCTAACATGGGACTGCTTGGAGTGGGATGTCCCCTCCTTTCCTTAATCACTGGGGACCCCACTGACACTAATGGGGATTTGCTGTGGTCTGGAAACAAGCAGATGCTTTAAAAGGGAGCTCTTACAGGGAAGATAGGAATGATTAAATGCCCCTGAGGATATTAAAAGAGCACAAAGTTAATTTTGTATCCTAACTATTTCTAAACAAAATTTTTGCTGTGAAAATTAGAATAGGTTTTACTCTCGACAATACATACTTCTTAAAAGGTACATTTACCTAGCTGAAAGAGGTATGTGGGAAAAGGAGCTACATCAGGAAGAAAAGTGTGCATTCGTGTAAAATGGAGGCTACAGGAGAAGGGGAACAATACACTTAGAGAAATACAAGGTTTAAGAGAACAAGGGAGTGAAGGGTATCTGTTTCAATTGCTTTACCATGCCCTGATAAGAAAAAAAGGATATATTAAATCCAAATTTAAATAGCGTTGTACTCCTTAATTAGTTTCTTTTGTTTGAGTAGGTAAAAATCACTGTAAGGTACTGATAATATGGGGATAAAACTGTTACAACCTTAAAAAAAAAAGAGGGGGGAGCATACTTTTGTGCTTTTTAGAAATACTCTGATGAATGTTGTCTCTGTGCACTGTTTGCTGTTTAGCCATCAAATGTTCAAAATAAAAAAATTAAACATGATGCACAAACAGCATTATATTCAGAAATTGCCAGATGTTCTCCGTGCAGAGTGCTATGGGACATTGTGTTAATGGACACCCTCAGTTGGTAAATGCAAACAATAAAGCAGTTTGGTAGTAAAAAGACAACCACCCACTTGAAGACATAGGAGTACATAGGGGAAAAACTGGTGTTATTCTTTTCAATAGCAATATAAGCTCCAAAATTACAAAAGTATCTAAAAAAATGGCTGAATCTCATTTGAAGCCATGTTCTTGAAAATGTTTCCATTTTACTAGCATTGACTGTTGACAATAACAACAGGGCTTGTGAACTGTTTTCTTTGTAAAAATGTTTGAATTTCTTTTAATGTGACCTTAACATTGGGGGGTTAATGCTTAATTTAGGATTAATTCAAGTACCCTTCATTCTGGGAACAGTTATAATGCTTTCCGTTCTAAACATATGAATATATTCAAATTTAACTAGCTTCTTTATCACACCAGTGAGGATACAAATTAAAAGAAATATTGTTTTTTCCAGTTCATGACCTAAAGTATTTCCTGTTTGTGTGGAGACATGTTAAATATAAAATCTCCAGACAAATAACATCTCAAGTTTGACCTACTGTATAAGTTTGTGATACATTCCTGAATTGCCGAACGTAAATGCCTTAAGGCAGAAATTAAGATAATAAGTGCCCAAGTTTTGACTTCATAATGGTAAAGGTATTTATATTTTTGCCTTCTAATTTGGAATGTAACTAGGTGTCAGTGGGGAAAAATGTGAAAGACTGGATGCAAAGGGAATACTGTGTTTTCAAAAGAAAACAAATTAATTACTAATATTTTCCTGGCTTTAGATTGTATCACACTTCAGTAATAAAATCTCAGAATATATGCAGAAGGGAGATACAAAAAAAGACAAATAGGAAATTTATTAGATAATATCAAGGGTAAAACTGTCTAAACATAAGCTAATCTTATAATAATATTTATTTAGTGTGTTGTATTGAATTTCCAGATCAAGATTAGCTTTTTTTATTTGTATGTGTTAAATTTCTGATATAATGCTTAGACTTTCATGTATACAATTTAATAAAGCCCCAGCCAAACAGAAGGTAATTATTGTGCTGTTGAGTAAATTGTAAAAGTAGAAATTATAGTTAAAGTGTTAAAACTTCTCAAGACAAGGTTGATGTCAACAGCAGTCAGAATCACAAACCATTTTCTGAACAGAATAGCTAAATTCCATAGTGGTAATATTATTGTTTTCTGAAAGAGGTGTTTGCCTGCAAAACCTGCCTGTTGTGTCAAGCCTGAATATCACTTTGAGCAGTATTTTGTCACTTCTCCATTTCAGCAGATTCTTCTCCAGCATTATCAATCTGCTACATGCAGAGCAAGTTTGTACTTTTTTTGGCAGGAAAAGTCAAACTGTTTGCTTGGGGAAAAACTCAGATGTTTCTTTGTCTTCATGTAAAACACCTGTTATCTTTCTAGTCTGAAAAAAAAACCAAACATAAACCAAGCAAACTAAAAAAGCTCACTCGGTCACCACCACTCCTTTTGTTGTAGTGTGGCAATTAATTTTTGGATTTTAAGTCAAGTGTACAGTTGAGACAGATTAGCCTTTCCAGTGGTGTATTTCCAAGCAAAATTAATAAACACACAGTTAGGGGACTGTGTGCCAGCCAAATTTTGGTAGCAGTACTGGCCCCGCCTGGATGAGTAAACTGGCTATGATCTCAACCACCATGGCAAACATAGCCCCATGCCACAAAGGAGGTCATGTCTCCTTTGTTAGCAGGCACTTATTTGGTCCATTGTGTTTTCTGCACCCATGCAGATTAGGAAAAATAACTCTTCTGATATTTTCAAATTTCAGAGATCAATTTAACGTCAGTTAAAGTGAAGATACTGGAGTTTCAATTAATCATTTGGGACACTGTGTTTTCAGTTTGAAAGTGAAACTCAACCCATTTTACTGATTGTTATGTTGTTTTGAGGTAATATTCTCTCAGGGTCATTCTAAATTCAGTTCAGGTTCATCAGGAGGTCCTGCAAATTCATAAGCTTTGTCAGCAACCCAATCCAAAATATCACGTTGTAATAAGAAATGAAATATACAGTTTTCCTGAGTTTGGCCTTTCCTAAGAATGTTGTTCATAACTCTGCCATGAACTGACAGATCTGTATTTCTGCTTTTCTAGGATTTAGTAAACTAACCTTCATCACCTCTGTCTTCACATAAAGACCATGTAGACCATGTTTTATATGACTATTTTTCTATACATTTCCATTAACCCCAGCAGGAATAATCTAATTCATGTTTTGCAATGTTTTTGAAGCTGTCTATAAAAAAACCTGTTTATAGAATCCTAATTAGAGAAGTTAGTGTGTAGCCTGAAAATCAGTTTGTCGGCTATCAAAAAAGGCTGATTTGGGCATTTATATTCCTTACTTCTTTAACATAATGAATTAATTATAACATCTTTGTTTCCATTTCTTGAGAAGGATTTATAAAAATAATATTTTAAGTGAGTTAATGGAACTTCCTATTTTCTAACTTCCTTTCTTGAAAATCCATAGAGGAACCAGTGGGGTTTTTCATATTCCTGAATTTTGAGGACAGCTAGTTGGCTGCTAACTTTTGTGTTAACTTTCTATAAAAAAGGGAAAAGAGGGGAGGAACTCCTTGAGAGCATGATTTAGTCCATCAAACTTTTGGTTTGAGTTACTGTTTTGAGGAACTCCTCTGTCTCCCTTTGCATATAGGGAAATAAGCTTCATAAACTAGGTGTTTCAGACTGCTATGTGAATACCCCTCATCCTTCTCTCTTTCCTGTCAGAGGATGTATAATGTTGTGTTTAGTATAATATTATCTCATGCATATCAATAATTTCCAACCAGGACACAAACCTCTGCCAAGAATTGACAAAACATGGCTATGCTGATGAGTTGCACAAGAAAAAGTAGTTGTGGTTATCCTCAGCTGGAAAATGGCTTCTTTGAGCTTCCTTTTCTCCATTGCGATCATACATTAACCTTCATCTTTTGTATTTCTACAATCAAATTAACTTGGAGTGAATATTTGGAGGAGTGGTTGGAATAAATAGCTCTTGAAAGAGTATGCGTATAAAAGAAATTGTAATAACGCATTTCTGCCAAACAATTGTACTTTTTTAAAATTCAATTTTGATAATGGATGTATATTAAATATTAATATAAAATATTTTCACAGCAGTAAGTCAAGGCTCAGTGAATTGATTACACAAAACAGTATTTTTCCTGAAAAAGATTTTTCCTGTTATTATTCACTGTACTTTCATGCCAAATTAAGAAATGTAGCTTTCTTAATTTAAGCTTACTCTTTCCAAGTAATGCCATTTCCAATTTAGCAATTGTATGTTCTGTTCTTTAGGAAATAACAGAAGATCGGGATCGATCACAACTGGATTCAATGGTGCTGTTAATTATGAAACTGGACCAGCTTGACCAGGATATTGAAAACGCTCTCAGTGCAGGCTCTTCCCCATCCAGCACCCCAACATACAAACGGAGGCATATACCTGTAAGCCAGTTTGCTTACTCTTATTATTCTATGTAGAATCTGGGTTTACTTCACTTTTTTCTTTCAGTCCTCACGTTTTTCAGCTCCTTGGTTTCAGAACTAAAGCTCTTTTTGTAAAGAACTGTCTTGTATTTTTTTGTATGTATGTATGTTTTGAAGGCAGTAATATTGATATCCATTATTTCCTTCTGCCATAATTTCATAAATGAAAGCTTCAGAGCTCACAGATGAAAAAAAGGTGATCAACAAAATTTAGAAAAAGTCTGTCTCTCTAATAATCACCTACTGTAAATGCAGAGTCAGCACAGAGTCAGGGTCACACCAGTCTCAGAGCATATGCATATGTGCCATTTGAAATTACACAGTTGGAACTGAAAACAAGTCTGAGCTACAGGTTTTCTTTTTTTCTGCTAGTGGGAGGGTCCGTGAGATTTTTGGCAGATACACCCATATTAAATTCTCTGTCATTCAAAGTAAGATTCTGGCAGAAGTGTGTACTTTAATTATGTAAATTCCTTCCATTATTTTATTTATTTAAATGTGATAATTCCTTGTTGAGAGTAGTCTAAAGGGAGAATGGACAGCTCACAAACATGATTGATGTATTCTTTTTTTCTGAAAATGATTACACATGTAACTATGAAGAACATGAAATAGCTGACCCAAGGTGTTCTCATGCAGTCTTCCTGTTAATTTCACCCACATGTGGTGCAGCTGTTTTTCAATTTAAGAAACCTGAGAAATACTAGAAATACTGCACCAAGATCTCTAGTTTACATTCAGGTCATTTCTTTTTGTTAGGGGTATTTTCTTTTAAATAATGAGGGCGTTTTCCTATTAAAGTCAAGACTTCATTATCGCTGTATAGTCAAATGAGTGGTCTATTGGTGAGAAAACTTTATTTCAGTTTCAGTGGGCTTGATGAGCTGAAGATTGTGTATAACTTTTAAAGGACAGAACTTACATACACTTTAATAAACAATTTCCCTGCAGATACCAGTGTTCTTGCAGTGTCTTCTCGAGCACTGATCGTACAGGAAAGCTGAAATACGATGTACGATGTTAACATCTGTTCTTTGTATGTCACCAATCCATGACAGCATTTTAGCTAATTTGTTACAGCAATAAAGAAAGTTGAGACAATCTATATGAATAAGCCTGCATGATAATCAGAGGTGGCACCTGTTTCCATGCTGCACAGCAACCCTATGGAAAGATAGCTTGCATCAAGCATAGAATATATGCTATTTATATACACTGATTTTCTAGGAATTTTTGAGTCATTGAGTATTATGAATCAAAGGATCAAAAGATTTGTTTTTCAGGACATTCATGCATTGTGTTCAGTCTTATATTGATTTTATAGTAAAAAAAAACCATCTGAATATCATTCAGAAACATGAGTAATAGGGCAGAGAGTGTGGTTCTGCAACATAACTCTGCTAAGCAGAAGCTTCTAACAGTAGCTGTACCCAAGCTGACATTCACAGAGGCATTTCCATGACTCTGCTGTATTTCCCAGTGTTTCCATTCCACTCCAAGACTCACTGGCAGCAAATATCTGACTAAAGTGCATGGTCCTACCTAGAGTGCAGCTTTGTCTCTAATTTCTAACCCTTTTCAGAAAGCAGCACACTTGCATACTTGGTGCAGAGGCACCTGTCTAATTGGCATCTACAGTTTGGCAGACCAGACACTTAACTGGAATTAATGAGTCAAACGGTTGACATTTCTTTCCAATTCAGGAGCACAACCCTGGATACATCTCTGCCCCATATTTCACCTATTCTAGGAACTTGATGTTAGGAAACTGATTAACTTGATGTTAGGAAACTGATTTTATCTTCACAGAGTTTGCTAGGTTAATAGTTCAGACTCTTTTCTGTTACTGTGCAGATACATTCACACAGGCTGCACCTCAGCTAATAATCCTGACAGTATATGGCTGGTTCTACACACAGCCAGCTCTTTGCCAGATATGTGCCACAATTTATCTGCCCTCACTCTCTGCAGTAAATCAAGCAGGCGCTATATTTTTACTTCCTCAACAATAAAACATACTATATTTCTTCTTTTTATTCTCAGAAAAGGAATGTAATCAGTGTCATTAAAAGTAAGGGCATTTTAACCAGAAATAGCATTTGGCTGGTAAGTGTCTGCTGATTCTGAAACTAAGGGAGTTGTACCTCTGAATTGTATAAACTGCTGGACGGTGATGTCATTTCGGCTGTGTAATGCTTTACAGATGTTCACTGAGCTTGCAGTGCTGCCAGAGACAGAAGGTGGGAGGAGCACACAGGAAATACTGAACATCAGAGAAAAATGTCAGACTTCTGCAGACCTGAACTGATTTCTCTTACCTCACATTCTAACATTCAGGGGAATTATACCTTTGATGTTAATGGTGATTTATAATTTCAGAACAGCAGCTAATGCAAACCACCACATTGAAAAAGAGAGCAAGTGAACGTGTATGTAATGGAAAACAATAAGGGGAACAACTCTTGCACGGAGAGTTAAGCATATCTATTTAAATGAGCCTGTCTAAATACTTCCTTTATTTAGAAGAACTAGATTTTTTCTTTCATAATCACAGTTACTAAAGAGACTTGCACCGTTTTTTTACAGGATGTTGAATCTGGTTCTGAAAGTGGAGTGGATGTTGCTTCAGTAAGTCATTCACAAACAAACTTGTCTCCTAACATCCATGCTCCTGATCTAACATCTCCCTGTTCAGTAGCCAGCTCTGGAGCTAAACCAAAAGCTGGGGTGAGTACAAAGATTATATTTTATTAACTTCACTCATAACAGGTTGGAAGTGAAGATATTTCATACTATTCATTGTGTGATTGTACAACAGTACATGTGCGTCACCGAAGAAAAAGGACTAATAATGTAGGTTGTCTCAAGGTGTCATTTCAGTGGCAAGTAATCCTAGAAGTTTCACATTTAGAAACACGCTATTATCAGCTGAGTTTTTATGTGAGAAAATAAATTAACGGAGCTACTCCATTTTCCTTAGGAAGATAAGGTTTCTTGAAGAATCACTTGGAACATTTCCTAAACCTCAAGGAGGATGCCAGAGAAAAAGATCATTGAATTGTGTAGTCTGATTTATGATGCCCAAATCCAGTCACCCTAGTTCTCTTGAGAGTCTGAACTGCTGTGTACTACAAGCAGAGGTATTACCCTACTGAAGGGAGAATGTCATTCTAAGGCCAAATTTGGCAAATTGTTTCACATGCTGAGGATCAGAGGGAGCCCTCCGAGCAGGCGGACCCTTTCCTGCAGATGCCAGCACACACTAAGTGGTAAGGAAGGGCAGATCTGGGAGCTCAGATACGGCGAGGAGCCTCATTCTATATCTGTTCATAGATACGTACAGCTATTAGGGGCATAGTCCTTACTTTTGCCATTGCCCATCTACAGAAGAATCCTTCTTCATATGTTTCAGCTGTCAGCATGTGCAGAAAAGCTTGGATTGTCCTAGAAACTTGACATACTTTCTGTTCTCTTTTGCCCTTGCTGTTTCCACTGCCTTAAGAAGCAAGGAGATCTAGACTATTCTAAACTTTTCCTAGACTGAAAAGTCTTAGCATAACTCCCTCTCCCTCTGTTCACAAATTCAACCACTGCTGAAAACCAGACCAGCAGAAAATCTGGATAAAATATTAAGATATAAAATGTGGTTAGCATAAATATATACATTTATAACAAGTTTATAAAAAACGAAATAGAGGCCAACTGTCATTTACTGCTCTGCAATAATAGCAGTTAACTAATGCCTTTGATTGAGGCAGTAAAAGAAGTTCTAATAAACATTTACATTTAAGATTGTTCACTTGTACAAAAATAAATTCACTTGTAATTTATCATCAGTGCATAACTATAGCAAATGGAGAGCTCTGCACTCTGTCATTGCATACAATGCAGCACAAAGTCTCAAATAAGTACATATGTTACGCTAGAAGGTGATATCCTATTTTTCCGATCCTGAGAAGAGCACAGACACTCTCTAAGGTATTAAATATCCATTTTAAATTTAAGTTTCTCTACTAATATTTGGGGAACTCTTAACACCTGGCTTTACAGAAGTGTCGTTCTTCTTTTGGAGTGTCTAACTTGCTTTGAAGTTAGACATAAAGTGTTAATTCACCTTTAATAGTACTTATTTGACTTTTGCTGTGATGGATAAATCATGCTGAACATATATGTGAATATTTATTTATTATATAATTTTTAATGTATATGATTTTGGAGAGATACCCCTTTTTTTTTTACTTTGTAAAGTAACAATGAACATTAAAAAACATCTCTGCTGATGTGTAGGTTGTAGGCATACAATAGAGAGTCCCTTTTTTTTTTTAAATTTTGATAAGTGAAGCTAAATTTTCTTCAAAATCAACTCTCTCCTGAAGTTTTGCAGGCTGCAGCTCACCACATTCTGTAGTGAGATTTGGTGGATTCTTATTAGTACGTTTGAAGACCATATTTTCATTTCTAGCATAGTGGGCTTGGAAAGTACAAAAAAGTGGATCATTTTTGCTTGACCCTAGATCTTCTGCAAATTGGGAAAAACAAGATCCTCATTAATTTTTTTTTCCTTTTGGCTTTGGGCTTCCAGATTGGTTTGACTGTGTGCCCTTCTGATCCACAAACTGAGTGCTAATGTGTGCTGTGGCTCAGCTGTTCGAAACTTACTGCCTCCATACCTGAAGACAAACTTTAAAAGCAGAAGTTTTCTTGGCACATGCTGGGAGAATATATACCTTGATTCTTACCCTTGCCCATCTCTATGCCTGTTGTTCCTCTGCTCTGCATGGCTATACAGTTTGCTGTTGTCTGCTTGACTGCAAACCTGTATTAGTAGAAAAGAAGTTCCCGTGTTCTTGCCGTGTTTACCTTTGGGCTCTACCCACGATGAATTTTTTAGAATGGTATATTGAGTGGCATGTCCTTGAAACACTGCCCAGAACAGACATTGACGATGCCCCTGTACAGCTGATTTCAATGTAGATATCTCCTGTGAAAATCCTTAGTGTGATATTCTTTCTGTAAGGGAGACTGTTCTCATAGTTTCTGGGGGGGTTTGTCAGAGTAGCTGGTATGGGAATAAGTTTATTCTGCACTGGAAACTCAGCAAAATACTTTTTAATGGTAATGGACTGTTTCAAAGGTTTTACTTTTTGTGTTTGCAACTGCAGATTTCAAAGATTTCAAATGCTTAGTCTCCAAGGACAACTTATTGTGTTGTGTTTATTAATAATATAATAACTATTAATGTTTATTAATAATATGTAAACAGGAGTACATCAACAATTATATTTAAAATTCAGTATCAATAATACTTTTCATATTAATAGTAGATATTTTAAAGAAAAATGGGGGGGGGGTTTGCATACACAAGTTATTTAACATTTCATAAAATTCACTAATGGATAGTCAAATTTACCCTTGTCAGTGTGAATGCCTATGTAAAGTGCATGTGTGCACACACACACACGGAGTACTCCTTACTGAATGCAGGCATGATAAGCATTATAGGAAGTTATTTCTGTAGAAAGGTTTTCCTATGATTCAGTAGGGTGCAGCATGAAAACCTTTGCTATCCAGATATACATGGTGGTTTGGGTTTATGAAAAGTATACAGCTGAATAACCTTCGTCCTAAATTTAGGATGCTGCTGTTATATTTCATGGTCGGAGCAATATAGCATAATGTGATCAGTAGAGTATTTGCTTCACAGTATAACAATTGACTCAAAATGTACGTGTTTGGCAAGGTACACAAATGGACAATCCTTGTGAAATAAGGATTCACATGATTGAACAGGTATATTTCCCCACATAATTTAGGACTGGATAGTAAGAATTGTGTTTGGCATGTTTATATTACTTACATTTACAGAATGAAGAATTTTCATTCTTCTATAATTAACACATCTTTATGTTCTGGCTTTTTATTCACCAGTCTCCAAAATAGACAAATGATTTTTTAATATTAACACTTGAGGATATACAGTTGGCAAGCATTAATCACATGAGAATTGAAATCAGCTTAAAAAAATACGAAATCAACAGGCTTTTGCTCCAGTGGCCATGAGAAACAGTGGAAAATGGGAGTGTCTGGACTGGATTTGGAAAGCAAGGAATGTAAATACCGTATATGTCATACCTTCTACAAAGTAATACCACACATCTGGACACTTAAAACACACTCTTCAACAACAAACACCAGAAAGCATTTGATTTTAAGTTTGGCTTGATTATTACAAAACCAAAATGTGGCTACAGAATTTAAAATATATTTTAATAACAAAAGGTAAGTTATGGTAGCCTTTTCCAGCACCCAGTTAAAAGCTAGTTAAGGAAAGTCTGAATCTATTACCATTGTCTTTTCTTTTTTTTTCTAAATATAAATCATTGGCTAACAGACAACAACAGCTAAAGCCTCAAAGCTGTGGCCAAATCCTTGTCCTTGAGCATCTGCTCTGCAAAGCCCATCTATGTTTTGTTCAGGTGAAAAAAAGCAGCTGTGATTATTTTCTACTGCTTTTCTTGGCATTTCCATCCCTCTTGCTTCAACAGTGTCCAACTTAGTCTAATCATGCTGTGCAAATGTAATCAGAAATCTATTATCACCACAATAGCTGGTTTCTCGAAGATTGTTTTTCAGATTAGCTGTAATGACTAATTTAAAATGCGTTTATTTCTCAAAGTGATTTTAGTCACCAGTTATGCCTGCAAGTACAAAGTGACCTAGTCTTGCTGCACACTAGAATGGGATTCAGGTGCAGCTACTGATTTCAGTGAAGCCCTGGATGAGCTCAGGAGTCCACTTTCACAAATCTTGTTACTGAGCTGTGACAAAAGGCTGTATTATTTAGATGACAGTTTTGCAAACTGTTTATTTGTATGTACTAAAATAATTTACCCTTTCACATATGCTTTTGATTCATATTAGGTTTTAAAATTTCAGCTATTTAGAGAAAGCCAAATCATTCTGTGAAGAATAATTTATAGATTTGTAGATTAAGAAATAAAGTTCAAGTTTCTTTCTGCTTTGCTTCACTGATTTTGAACTTAAAAAAAGAAGCTAAGATTTATGGCAACTACAAGGACAACAACTGTTTGAAATGCTTGCGTCTCCCACTGCATTATGTTTTATAGTAAATTCAGTGTACAATGAGTTGTGCAAACACACACAGAGTATGTCAATGGATTTGTGCACAGATTTTTCACAGTGGGTCATGCCATTTGAAATGTAATAGTTTTTGGTTGCTGAATCATACCTTTATTTTATACGTACTTATTTATTTATTTAAGTCCTCATAGCACTTTTCTAAATGTTGCTGATATTATGGTGTTCCTAGAATTCTTATTTTACACATTCAGTCAAAACTGAAGGTTACTCTGGTAAGCATTATGGAGAAAGACTCTTAATATACAACTTTAATTAAAATATTGTTTCTTTAAACTTGAGAATTTTTACATGTGGAAGATGAGAAGAGACTTCTTAGGATCTGACCATGTTGATTAAGTTAATGTTGCCTTTCATACCTATGCTTTTAAAAAAAAAAAAAAAAAGTGTTTTAGAAGACAGGGAAAGGCAATCAATTACAAAAGTAAATTTTAACACAACCACATTTTCATTTGAATTCTAACAGCCTGTTATTTCACCATACAAAAACGTTCTTTTAAGATGTAACTTACCATGAAGGTATATTTCCCAATCGTGTAGGGAGATAACAGGAGAGTTGCGCAGTGTTT